TCTTTCAGAAATGGTGATGTTGACCCATGGTCTCCTGGCGGTGTTTATGAAAGGGCTCCAGGGATCGCACATGCTACTAAGCATGGTGTGTATACTTTCCTAATCCCTGGTTCAGCACATCATCTCGATCTGAGACAACCAAACACCTGCGATCCACCACCAGTCAAGAATGCACGATTCCAGGTACTATCCATTGAAAATTCTCCTGTCTATTCGATTTTTCCATAATATTGATCAATTCGGGAGCCAAAGGGTGCGTTGTGTGGTTTAGGTATACGAACGGCCGTATTGTGCGATAAATCAGTAACGTGAGAACATTATTTTTATGCGTTTCATCTGCTTTTTTAAAATCAAAATATACCTGAAAGACATCTTATTTGAGATAACGAATATAATTGACTGCTGGGTGAATCCGAAGAAATGTCCCAAGCCACCTGTAGCAACGAAACTGCCGCCACTTGGTGAATTGTCATCGAAAGATTGTAAATCTGAATACTTCGCCTATCCTTGGGGCCAAAAGGTGAGCAGATTGAGCTTTTTCCCAAGTATATGAAATCATATCGATTGATGGTATGCTGTCTTTTCACTACCCACTTCTAATGATCCTTTTGTGATCATCATGTTTCCTTTACTTCTTATGTTAGTATCCAACCGATGTGAGCAATGAGGACATGCATTTCGTGCTCATTTTATTCTATTCCTCTGAATATTTGTTGCGATAATCAATGTTTCTAAGGAAGAAATTAACGATTGAAATGTGAATGAATTTTATGATTTGGATGATTTCTCTTTCAGGCTGCTCAATGATCGCTGTCGTTGTCGCACTGTTCATCTTCAACAAACAATAATATCATCGCAAATCGTCGTTTCCTTCAATAAGCTCGATGTTGTCTTCGTTATTATTGAGTAATAAAGTTATTTCACGATATCACTTATCATTGCATGTAATTATATCCACTCGTTCATTTCCCTCATATATCGATCTTTCGGAAGATACTAAATGTGGCTGGAATATGACAACAAAAATATCTAAAATAAGCTGCATGAAATCATGGTGCAATGTGGGTTT